TTGGACTTTCACTGAATACAGCCTCCATCGTTGGGTTTTCCACTGGAAGCCATCACCTCATTCACCAAATCAAATCCTACTCCATTTTCTTGCTCATGGACTTCATCACAAAACACCAATGGACGGAGATCGTCTCGTGTTTCCACCAGTGCCAGCAGCTTTGATCGTCGGAATTTTNTACGTTATCTATTCAAACACATTCCAATGGTATAGAAGAACCATATTCAATATTTAATATAGTTATTTTAGGTCTGTGTTTTGCGCGTTCGGAGCCGGAAAGTTGTTTGGATACGTTACATACGATATGGTTCACTACTATTTGCATCACGGAAGCCCACGCCCTCGCAGTAATCTACATTATAGAAAAGGGTATTTCCGTTTCGTTTCGTTCGCTTTCGTTTCTTTCGGATTTCTTTCGGATTTCACGGTCTCCCACTTTTCGCGGCGATTTGTTGTCGTCAAGTCTGATGTCTCTGACGCGGTTCACCGCCACGCACAAATGCACATATATTCTTGCCGCCGAATTGCCGTCTAATTCGAATTTCAATTGAGTTTCATCAGAAATCGCTTTCTTTTACTTATCTCTAAATCAAACTGCTTAGCAAATCCTTCTGAATTCCTTTGTTGTCGCGAATGTTTTTACTAGGATCGCTCGAATTTTCACCAAAACCGTTATTGGGAGAAATTGTTTTAAAATCAACTCGGCGCTGTGCTCCGTTCGGAAACAATGTTTTCCCAAGAAAAATGATTTACTCGTTCAACTTTTGCTGAATATTATCTATCACAAACTAAGAGCTAATGGGAGAAATCATTCCATTTCAACCGAACCAAAATGCCAATTTTCGAAAAGTTCTTTGAAAATTTAATCCTTGCTCTTCCTTTCTGCGAACATTTTTTTCTTTTTTCTCTATCTTGAACATCAAGCTTCTAAATTTTCGTCAGGCGTCATGAATAGAAACCGTCGTGATGGACAGCGTGATATCAAACGGGAGCGTCGTAGCCGATCAAGGAGCCCAAGAAGAAGTATTGTTTGCCAAAATTATCTTTCTCAGCAGATATCCGCTTGCAATTCCGTTTTGTATTTTTGTTTCCTTAAGGTCGTATCGGCGCCGCAGTTGGAAGTAACAATGGAAATGCGTCCTCGAATAATCGTATGGTTTATATCACCAACATAGCCTATGAGGTGCGTTGGGTCGACTTGAAAAGCCTGGTCCGCGAAAAGGGAGGTGAGGTGACGTTCTGCGAGCTATTAGAAGACGGCAACGGAAAACCGAAAGGTAACGCTGTCGTTGAATTCGAAACACGTGAAGGAGCCGTTAATTGTGTCGCTAATCTCCAAAAGTACGACTGGAAGGGACGAAGCATTATCGCAAAGGAGATTCGGGTCCGTAATTCTTCTTCGTTTATTAAGTGTTTCTCCATTCATCATTTTTAATTTCTGTAGGATCCGACTGCGTTCTTCCGTACTATCAAAGCTGAAACAGGAATAGACTATCTTTCTCGTACCGGAGGTAGCGGGGCGGGAGGAGGTCGAGCCCATCAAAACAAAGATCACGATCGTCCTTCACGTACTGGAACATATGATTTATTCGGTCTCAATATGGAATTCCTCCGTCAGCACAGCATCGAGCCTCCCCTTTGTGAGCGAATCTTCATCGCGAATGTAGGTTTCAAATGTTTCTTCTAATGGAGGGTTGGGTCATTTTTCATCAGTTTGAAAATGCTTAATCTATGGTCATAAGATTTACACTAATGTTAGTAATATCTAAGTCGTTGGATTTCCGTCTGGCTTCAGTTCAAATTATCTCTTTTGCTCTCGACCCATTCACAATGATAATGGCAAGAATTGGTCAACGCAATTTTTTTTAGCAAAAGAAGGAAAATATTTTTTCACTTTCTCGAGATTATAATTAGAGTTTTCGTAACTGATAGTTTAGATTGAAAGACCTAGGATCTAATAATTTTGAAACATGCGATTTACAGTTGGCATTCAATGTCGGAACTGACAAGCTTTACGAGGTGTTTGGAATGGCCGGCAAGATCAGCTGGATGGACTTCCGTATCGACAAAGAAGGAAAAACCAAGGTATCACATCTATGACTATTCAAAAATGTATATTATTAAAGGGCGTTTGCGTTATCCAATATACACACCCGATAGAAGCTGTGCAAGCCATCTCAATGTTCAATGGTCAACGTCTTTTCGATCGAAACCTTGTCGTGAAAATGGATCGCTTCGAGAAGGAGCCAGAACACAAAGAAGGTGGACTTCCTCGTGGTCTTGAGTCGATTGGAATGGGCCTTGGAGCCGACGGAGCCCCACTTGCAAATGTACACGGAATGTTCCCAAGTGAAGCACCACCACCGGTAAGTATTTTTTAGGACCACCGCCTAAGCCTCGTCTTTTATTATCTTTGTCTGAGAAAAATAAAGTTGAGACGCAGAGAAAAAGTGTTTGTGTTTCCACCTTATGTGTGCTATTTAGGCTCTCCGCTTCGATATCGATACCGTATTCAGACTGCAAAAAATACTCTCTAACCTTTTTT